GCAGCGAATGCTTATGTTTACTGATAGAATTAGACCATGTTTTATAGAAAGTAATAGGCAATATCATTGGTTAAAGGATCGTCGTTCAATCACGTAAAGATTTAAGCAGACACATCACATGTATTAACTCGGATTTAATGTTCGCCCGGTGTACCATTGGCCGAGCTTCCTGAACGGTGATTGGATGACATAAAGCTTTACCTGGTCGTGCTTGGAATACCGTCACGTATGTCTGGATCAACACACAAGGATATTGGTCAATGTCTGTCATGATCGGTTGCATCACGTGGCTAGACGGCCAGTATAAGTAAGACCACCTATGGAACAAGATATTGGGCGCAAGTGACATTTTTACTGAAGTCCCACGTTTGGGTAGAATTTGGTCGCCTCGGTGTACTTGTTAATAGTTTCATTTGGTTTCGTGACCGTCACCACGATAAATTTGAATTGGAACCGGGGGACAAACGGATTTTCAGCCGACTACCTAGCATTTTGGTTACCCACGCTTCAACTTCAACAGCTCATTCCAAGAGTCGATGAATTTGTATTTTTTTTTGTCAATTTTCACTGTGGTCTTGTTTCAGACCGTGCGCCGATCAGAGTGTAGCACAAATGCATAAGGATTTGGTGAGAAATTTACAAGACAAGAATTTCACGTTTTCTTAGGATTCGAAGAAAGAATAGAATAAAGAGTAGCATCACCAGTGAGCCCGGTGAGAACCACAGGTGAATGAGGGGACGGGTTGGCAGGAAGGTTTCTTTTTCTGTTTTGCAAGTGGCTCGAGAAAAGCAAATATATCCTACACTGTGGTGTCAAATTCAAAGTCTATATTGTGATTCTTATGTCACTCCGATGTCCCGGAATTAGTGCGCCGTGGTGATGATCTGTTTCTGACCACTAACTGGTCCGCTGTATTCATCTTATACCTTTGTTGATCCCAGAACAAAGATACCTCGATGATGGTGTTCGCGAATTCGCAAGAATGTCATTAATTTGTATAATCTTGCGCTTATGTATTCGATGTTGATGGTATAACCTGGGGACCGAAGAGTTCAGCTCCCTGCACGAACGGTGGTGGTTCGAGTCCTATCCGAGACACAGAAATAGTATGGATTCTTCAAAACGCTAAACAGACTGGTGTATGATGTAAGTATGTATGTATGTATGTATGCATGTATGAATGTATGTATGTATGTATGTATGTATGTATGTATGTATGTATGTATGTATCAGGTAATCTGTAATTTTTTGTCACCGTCTGTCAGTTTCATGTATTTCCATAGACTGTCTTTTACATCGTGTCAACCAATAATCGTAACGTCACACCAATAACAGGTAACGAGTGGAAAGGTTCAAAGACATGGGCTTGGCATGTCGGTCAAAATAATAGCGGACTGCGGTTCCGGGAGGGCAAACAAAGTTTTGCAGTATTTCTTCAGAGAGGATGATAGTATTTTTACTACACACTTTAGTGTGAGGAACAGCAGACGGGGTAAACACCATAGTCATAAGGACCTACTGTTCAGTGATGAAAACCGGTAGCCTAAGTCCCGGGACTTGGAGTGATGAAACACATTAGGCCCCTCTAGGTCAGGCTTGGCATTGAACCGGACGACAACAAAGCTGTCTACCACCAAATTTGGGTGATAGTGGTGGGGCTCGAAACTCGGATCATAGTGTCCAAAACACGCTGGTGACAGCGACTAAACCACTGCGCCACCATCACCACGATGGTGATAATTTGTTTCGTGACAAATGACAAACCTCATCCCCATTCTATTTCCATTATAAATTTGGAAAATATACAGGTTACTCATCCCAATCATACAATGCGTGATACTGAGGGGGTCAAGAAACAGTTTGCTCTGTCCTTTTGAACGCTGTCCTCTCCCTCTCGTTATATGTTAGAATGCCTGCACAATACTCGTAACAAGCTTGTAAAGATGGTCACCCTTCCCTTGCACCACACGAAATGCTCCAATGCAATCAAGCGTCTCAAATAACCTCTGCTGAGGAAGCCCTACTCACCGTCTACCCGTGGGGGTGTTTTCCTACTAAAGTGAGAGGACGAAAAACGGAAATCCGGGGCTATACCCGGTTCATGAACAACTGGTGGTTTACCTAGGGGAGTTGGCCAGAAACCCTGATTCCAAACCACCCAAGAGAAGACGAACGAATCACACGCCCACTTTCCCTGTTGTGGCAATGGTCACCGGCTCCATTGGGCATCGAGGTGTATTGGGCACCTTGGACGTTTGACCGCTTCCCGAAAGGCATGTGATCGAATGAACTGAACACTAGCCCCCAATGGTTTGCGGTTTTCCCACAACGCCCCCCTGCCTTGCGGGTCAGGCTTTGGTTTGCTGCAGGCTCCGGTTGTGGATTACTCAAGAAAGTTCATCCACCTTGGCTTGGACAACCTGGTAGAAGTCGACCCACATGAAAATCATGGAAGGTTTTTTACAAGGATTATTGTGCTATGATTTAGATGGTCAATATCTGGATTAGCCCATTCGGTTTCTTTACAGGCACCAGGCGCTGTTGATGATGATGTTCGGTGTGGGCTCAACTCTTTAGGAGATCGTTTACTCCCCACTATTTGAATGTATTTAAATGAGGTGGAAGTGTTTGTGATAACCAACAACTAGCACTGGACAGCTGTTTCGTTCTGTTTGGGATTCGTAATCAGTGCGTACTTTTTGTGTCCCTATCAGGACTCTAACCGCGATCGTGTAGCTCATGAGTAAGGGTATAAAGTCACGACCTGAATGTTTGTAGTTCAAGTCCTGACAGGGACACAAAAGTACGCACTGCTGTCGAGTCCCAACCAGGACGAAACAGCTGTCCAGTGTTCTTTGTCGGTTATCACAAACGTGTACCATGATTTGTTTGGCACTCAGTCTGGCCTCAGAAGTGTAGGAAATAAAAATTGGAAGTGCTTCCCGCTCTTCAGCTCACGCCTCACCTACATCAAAATTCATCCTATATAAAGATCATGTTAAATGTTGAATTGTCTCACGTCACCTGAATGGGGAGCAGTCTCAACAATCACTAGCTTGGAATTCCACAGAAGGGAAAAGAACAGGAAGACCTGGCTCTTTGGGGACACTCCAGTGTACGTACAGTATCGCATCAGAACAATAATCTTTTCAAAACAAACGTTTCTTTTTAATAATTCTGTAATGCTCGGAAAATACTCGAATCACGAATCGAAATCAAATTTGAACTGGTAATCCACTGCTGAACTCTCCCGACACCGAAATGCAGAAAGAAGACCATAGAAGTAGCAGCTATTTTATTGAATGCATTCAAAGGGAGTTAGTTAATAATACGCGCAAAAGCTTAAGATTGGTTGAACCGATATCAACCACTTCATGACCGAGTTCTCTTCATCAAAGTATTTTTGTTAGAATCACATGGTTTTTGATTGGTCTAGAAAGTCGACTCCTTATTAGTTATCCTGAAAATGTATCGCGTAGCTCCCTGGCTGGCAGTGGATAGACACTTTGGATTGCTAGAGCTTCTCTCGACATAACTAGGTTTGGCGAGTTAACTTGTTAAAGTTTCATTTAGTCCAGGATGAGGAATTTCTAATCAAGACCTGAAGCATTGGATGTGAGATAGAGATGAAGGTGGGTTGTTAATTTGTGATGAAAATAATTATATGACGTTCAACAGAGAGCACTCAACGGATTGTAGGTCACCTCTAACGGTAGCGAACTTCAAGCGGTGATTCACAGCCTGATCAACACAAATGGGCATTCAGTTGTGGTTCTGTTAGAGCTGGTCGCATTCAGATTCCTGCCGCTGATTCTCCGTGTCGCGTTTGAAAGTGTTAATTGACGCTTTCGGTTATTTTGAAACTTTCCTTTCTAGTCCCTGGAGTACATGAGCGAACCACTGAAGGCGGTGCTTTTGGATTAAAACTGATCATGACCCTATTAGTACTGTATACAGTATTGTCTGCTCATTCTGTTTATTCAGTACAGATGTAATACAAATGTTCCATGTAGGAAACACCTATACGGGCAATGGATTGGTTTGGGTTGGCGTTTTATATAACTGAAGCGTGGGAGTTAGCTTGTTTTGTAATATCGAGTAAGAATGGATGAATGCTTATCGCCTCGATGGGATTTGATATGTGGAGCCGGATTGCTTTGGAATAGTTTAGACCATGCTTCAGGCGAGTTCGGTGTTCACTGGAGGATGCTCGATCTAGTGTGTTTTCCACCATTTTGTAGTCAATACTCTTCAAAGCTCAAAAAAGGCTTGTTCTGTCATAACGAAAGAGCGACACGTTTTCAATGCAGCTAAAATGATACAGAACCAATTTTGCACTATTCTTCCTAAGTTTATGCACAGTATCCAAATTAAACAGATCAGCTACACCCCTACATTTGTTTATCCCTCCATGATTGAAACACCCAAACGGCCACCAATTATGAAGCTCTATTCGGAACAATTCATCATTTAGCACCGTTCACTTTGTGCCGTCTCAAATGTCTTTGAATATTGTCTTCAAACCGCCACCTGTCAGTTGTATTGTTCCCTTTCAAAAATAGATTCTCTTCTAGAAAGTCATGAGCTCACGCTCGTAAAAGAACACCGCTTGTGCAATACACGAATGCGAGAGTATAGAACCCTTGAATTATTCCCAGTGTGGGTGCTATTTTGTTCCGGTTCACAACTTATCGCTACTTCCCGGCCGTTTGCATCCACCACGCAAGCGACTATATACTTGTCACCTGTGCTTCCAAAATCGTGACAATTGTTTTTACCCCTTACAGTTAGACTAGGGATACAGTGGTCCTTCTTTTCTTTCACACCAGTCATTTGGTAATATTATTTGTTTCTATTGCTGTTGTTGTCGTTGTTGTCCTCGTTATGGTCACCGTGGACGATGATGATGATAATGGTGACAAGGACAACGACGACGACGACGACTAGGATGATGATGATGATGATGATGATGATGATGATGATGATGATGATGAATGGGATGCTGACTGATGATGATGATTGTGATGATGATGTTTCGGATGATGATGATGATGATGATGATCTCGGAGTGATGATGATGATGATGATGATGATGATGATGATGATGATGATGATGATGATGATGATGATGATGATGATGATGATGATGATGATGATGATGATGATGATGATGATGATGATGATTGATGATGATGATGATGATGATGATGATGATGATGATGATGATGATGATGATGATGATGGTAATAATGCTTTTTCTCCACAGATGATCCAAATGCGTAAAGTTCCATTCATCTTTTCCTCTGTATCACATACACACACACACACACGGCTGAACAAACAGAGGCAAGTTCGACACTTCAATCAGACAAAACAAATCAGTTCGTCCGACCAAGTTAGCAAAGAATACCAACCACCACCACCACCATTCACGTGCACTGGTCCATCCAATCATAGCAAATTAGTCCATCTGATAAGGACCAAATGAAATGTGTGTGTGTGTGTGTGCGTGTGCGTGTGTGTGTGTGTGGGAGCGGGGTTGGAAGGACGGCAAACAAATTACATTCTATCGCTGTGAATGGCCCAGCGCATTTACCTTTTATCCCAATCTTAATGTG